ATGCAATATCCATATTAAAAATATACTAAACTCTTGAACGCATATTACGCCTTAGTATTTTCCAAATTATCCTATAACATCATAAGCTGGGGTCAATCTACTGAGATAGAGAAACTTTTTATTGCTCATAAAAGAATTATAAGAATAATATTTAACTTGTCTTATAAGCAGTCTTGTAGGAATACGTTTAGCTATAACAAGATACTGACACTACCATCAATATATTTGTATAAAATTTTATGCTACATTCATAATAATAAGTCCAAATTTCAACTTTGTAGTAATACACATACATAATTATCAAACAAGAAATAGATCTCTTTTCTATATAGATAAATCCAACCACTCTTTCTTCAAAAAATCGCGCATATACGTTGGATGCTATCTCTATAATTTGTTACCGGATTACCTCAAAATAACCACACCTCATTTTTTATTCAAGAAACGAATAAAATGTGTTCTACTAGATAAAAATTTTTACTCCGTTCAGCAATATGTAACGATGCTTACAACGAAACACAGAAACGATATAAATGTTCCACTAATATTGTAGATATTTCTTCCGTGTTACATATATGTATAGTGTTGTAATTTTCCATTTCTATGTTATTAAATTTGACATATATGTAAAACTGACTCGCCAGATTATGTACAAAATATATATTTAACTGGTTCAAATAAATACATTTACATTTACATTTACTTTAAAATATCAATCTTAGAAATATGGAGAAAGGTTAACTTATAGTCCCTTGAGTCCATCTTCTTTTATTTTTTTTAAGTACTATGTAGAACATGTTAGCAGTTAGCAGTTTGAGCCGGGAAATCCTGTTATAGGTATATTATTTATGTAAAAGTTGTTTAAATCCTATACCAAAATTGCTTTTAACGAAGCTACATATCGACGGTGTCAAGGCAGTATATCGTAAGTCAAAAATTTCAACCTTCCAGGAGAGCAAAAACACTTTTTTTTACTAGCAGCCATAAAGCATGCATATGTCGATTTGTTTAGAGCAAAGTTCAACTTTTGCGCCCAAGGTTCAAAAAGAAGATTGAGGTTATGTACGAAATATTTGATGTAATTATTTCTTAAAGTGAATAACTGTATGCAACTATCATTACTTGAGTACATGCATGGTAGTTGGTAGATGGTGGAAGATAACATTAACAGAGACAATGAAGATACGACAGCTAGCAAAATTCTACAAACTTCAGCGACGATATTTCTGTTTTTCTGAAAACAGACTAAAAGTACATTTTCTGATGTCCCAGCGACCTGCTTCTTTGAACACCAGTCTTTGTACTCTGCATAAATAAACCTTCGTATAAACGCTTTTGGATTATTTTTCCGACAATAGCTTTTCTTGCAAATTTTGCGCCTCCCTCCTTACTTCTGGAGACGTGCATTGTTCAACTTCGATCACGTTCTGTTCTGCAGACACTATTAAGAAAATTCGTGAAATGCGGTTTTCATAAAAAATTTTCAAATGTCAAGCAACAACAATAATGTCACTTCACCAGTGACCACTATGATGTAAATTTTTGTGAATTTAAACATTTTGGGTCAAAAATTAAAGGTTCATTTTTTCAATTTATTATTTTACAGTTTCTACTAGTAAAAAACCATGATACTAGTGAAAAAAATTGTATATTAAGCACGGTTGCGAAGGCACTTTTAGACCTTGCGCTTTAGAGGCTCTGACGCTGTGCAACTCGGGTTCTAATTTGCGCTCGGTCTTGAATGCCTGGTTTCACAACCTTGGTTAATAATATACTATTTTTCACTAGCAGCCATGACGCATGCAAATGTCGACTCATTTAGAGGTAGCAAATTCAACTTTTGCGACCACCGGTTCAAAAAGAAAAATTGAGGTTATGTACGCAATGTTTGATGTGATTATTTCTTAAAAAATGAACAAATGTGTGCTACAAACATTACTTGAGTATACGCATGGTAGTTGGTAGACGGTAGAAGATAAAATGATTAACTCAGCGACAAGTATAAACGGTTTTCTTTGTGTTGAAGATTTAGATTAAGTTTGATTGGAAATCAAAACAAAATCATGTTGCGTCAAAAAATTGAACGTTTATTTTTTCAGTTTATTGTCTTATGGTTTCTACTAGTGAAAAAAATAGTATATTAACCACGGTTGCAAAGCCACTTCTAGACCTCGCGCTTCAGAGCCCTTTACGCTGCGCGTCTCGGGTTCTAATTTGCGCTCGGTCTAGAATGCTTGGCTTTGGAACCTTGGCTAATAATATACTATTTATTCTCATTGTAGATGTAAGTAGATTTTTTAATTTCTTCGGCACATTGTTATAAAAAGACCAGCAGTCGCTAGGGGTTATTGATTTTAATTGTTCTAAATGTTCAAATTTTGTTTTACTGATTGACAATCGATGTGTGTGAAGTTTGGGAAATGTTGAATGTTTTATCTGTTTCGGCCTAATCGGTAGTTCTTTATAGTCATTGTCAAAATCAGCCGTATATTTTATGAGTTCATGGGGTGTATATTTATAGGCCCTAACCTCACTTCTTATTTCATGTCACATTTATCTCCTACCAATAACATACGTCAGCTATTCTTAACTATTATATTACTAAAAACACATAAAAATTACAAATAAAAAATATGATGATTTTTTTACCATCCCCTCTCATTCATCCTACTTTTTACTTTGTAATTTTTATTTGTTTTTAGTGATATAATAGAATAGCTGACGTATGTTATTGGTAGAAGACTTAGAAGATGAATGCGACATGAAATGAGAAGTTAGGTTAGATTGGATACCTGACGTAGAGGCCTGAAGAAAGAATAAACAGAAACCGGTAACCTCAAAGTCATTTAATAGATAAGGTTGCCACATTGGGATGCCATATTGATACGTCACAAGGGGCTCTCAAATGGCGCGAAAATTGCCCGTTTTAAATACTCGAGTAACGCACTAAAAACGGAAACTTTTAATCAAGTGACCGCTTCTACTTCGCAAATTTCAATCCTGTGTAAAGAACAATTTAATAAACCTCAAGAAAAATGTTTTGCTGCCAGTAGAACTTGAAAATAACAAATGCGACACTATTAACTGATTTTTTTTATGCAAAAAAATCTGAAAATCTGCATTTACTGATTTACTTTTTCCTTTCTAGTAATAATCAAAACATTTCATTTTAGCTTAAACACAAATAAATTTAATTTAAGGCAAAATAGGGTTACACGAGTCGCAGTACTAACACCAAACGTCAGAATTAGCGGTACAGATCGTACAGATTAAAGGCATCAGCTGATCGGTCACACCAACTCAAAATTACAAGTTACTAAAAATTCCCAAGTAATACCAACCTCATTTTGACGTCACATGGGGCTGACACCTCTCCTCCCCCGTAAGCGATTTTGCCCACATACTCGTTTATGTGGTAACCTGTTCTCTATTAACTAACCTTGGGGTAACCTGATATAGTGTTTCATTTTATATGGAAATGAAAAGGTGTGGGCAAAGAATAGTTTTGATATTGATTATTAATTGAATGGTTGATTATAAAATGAAAGAAAATCAGTGGCGGCTCGTCAGGGAAGGCAGGGGAGGCAGTGCCTCCCCTGGGAAAATTAACTATTAGTTTTTGTTTTAATATCTGTTAATTTCAAATATATTTTAAAGATATAGCAAATAACTTTTATAGAATACTGTGATTTATTAAAACGCATTTTGGTAACATATTTTGAAGTACGCGCTTTCGACAGGAATAAGCGCTGATCATCATCGTGTAGGCCAGCTTCAGACAGAGGCATGCCTCAGATAGACGGATATCTTCAGTACCATTAGTCAGTGCTGCTAATATGTTTTTGAAAAAGACAATAGTCATCAGTGCTTTATCAAAGCGCCAGCGGAGGCACCAACGCCTACCGTCCTTAAGCCAATCAGATCGGATTTTTTAATCTCACGGTGAAACTGCACAATGCTGAACAGGGATGCTGAATGCATTTAGTGTGCATTTAGTTGTGCATGAATTAGACGCGAGGAAAGCTGTTCACTGCCAAGGTTATGTATTAAAACTTTTAAGTTCACATGAATTAATATTAATGCTAATAAAGCAAATTCTGTAGTCTTTACACCTTCTCGTTGGTTTGTGTGAAGCAATTAAATGTTTTTTATTCGAGAAGTGTACCCATATCGAGATATATTCCTGACTCAGAGTTATTTGTATTGTTTTCATAAAAATGAATAAACAATCTGTCTTTTAACAAAAGTAATTGCGAACATGTTAATACCTGCTCATTTTGAAACGAAAATGTTGCCTCACCTAGCGAAACGACCACGAGCCGCTACTGAAGAAAATAAATAGATACCAAATTTTACTGTTGTGTGTTAAAATAAAATATTGCTAGTACTCCAAGTTATAACTGACCAATGTGGTTGCAAGATCTCGTGGCAGACGAGATGGGCGAGGCGGAGTCTAATACAGGCGGTTGGTAGTGCTCGGGTTAAGCGATCGGTTGCAACATCGCCCTAAATACGTTGACCGTGTTTGCTAAACCCAAACTTCTAGGTATTAGTACGCACAACTGAGAGATGTACCTGCTCGAAACGACTAATGAAAAGTGGATACTTTTTCGGAACAGACAGTAGCCTCCACTCCTCTACACCCGCCGCTGAGTTTGGTCGGATCCGAAGCGCAGTGATGCTCAAACTCGTCCGCCACGAGATCTTGAAACTACTCTATAATTACAAGCTCTTCGAGAAATCTCCAGTGTTTATAATGCCAATAAACCGTAGACTGGAAATTTAAATAAATCGCCAATTTTTAATCTACCAAATCGTAGCATGAATTTTTGTATTAAGTACCTACGATACATTTGTATTATTTTTTATATTGTAAATATTATTCATTAATTTTCTATAAAAGCTATTTGCAAATAATAAAAACATGAACTTACATTTCTAAAATCAATTTTTTAAGAAATTAAAAAAAATAGAATAAATTTAAAATTCAATAAAAATACCCTACTGCTTCCTTATAGAGCACAGAAAATAAAGCAATTCCAATTCCCACTCCAGTTTGTGCCACCATTTCTACAAATTCTCTTCTTCTTTTGAAATAATGTCCTAAAACTAGTCCTGATGTTTCCTTTACAATTCCAGTACCAAGGCCCAAAAGTAAACCATAGCTGAGAAGTGCTTGATGGAACTGCACAGCAAAAGAAGTAAACAAACACGCAAGAGCTGTAATTATTCCTCCAAATGCAGCCGCCAGGCGGGTTGATTTCCTTCTACAAACTGCGACAACCATGGGGGCGGTTAGAAACGATATACACAAGCATAACGCTCCCAGCCAAGCTGCAACAAATCGTACGTATAAAAACAGTTATTTGTGTATGAAGACCATAAAAAAGAACTTTTTCGGCTGATCTAAAGTTTGGGGCCGAGGTATAGCCCCGGCCTACAAATTAAATGAGGACGAAAAAGTTCTCTTTGACCGAAGTACAGCATTTACAATAACGCCGTAGCATCCTCCAACATGCCAACGTTTTCAACAATTGTAAAGTTAATTTATTAATTACTTTTTTAAGTTTATGTTATAACCTTTGAATAAAATGTCGTAAAAGTAATTTTTAGAAATAAATCTATCGTGACTAATCCGTATCATTACAAAAGATCAAGAGGCACTCAAAGCAGGCCCTGACAAATTTATTAGCGGCGCCAACGGCGATTATCTCCGAGTGGATACGGTAGGACCATGGACATGATATTGCCAAAGTCAAAGCAATCATGGAATAATCATTTCATTTTAAATTTAGTTAGTATCAAGTAGTACACGGTATTAGTATTTTGACTTGTGTCAAAAAAAAAAATCAGAAGTAATTGTCTCATCATTAACCCTGTATAGTTTGATTAAAAATTTACCATGCTTATGATAATTTTAAAACATCCGCAAGATTTCAAAGCATTCGGTTTTGCAGATTCAAAATTAAATTGCAAAATATTGTTATACCATTTTCATTTTTTTTTTTTCAAAAATCTCTACGTTACGGTTAAAAATTCGACACGGATTCACAAAGTTCACATGATTACAAGTGTAGGACTGTTACTTTATACAATTTAAAATACTTTTACCTAGTACAATTTTGAGGTGATGTCATCACCTTATGGGTGAGGTTAGCATTTTACCATCCACATGATATTCATAATACACGTATAAACTTTGACAACAATCGGTCCAGTAGTTTCGGAAATTATCTGCTAACAAAAATCGTCACGGACGGACAGACAGACAGACAGACAGGCAGACAGACAGACAGACGTATAGTGCTCTTATGCACTAGACCACGATCAGGACATTTCACGCTAATAGTAAACTGTTATTCTACTGTTATAATGTTTTTGCGAAAATTTTGACGATAACGGAAAAAACTCAAAGCTTTGAAATGAAGTCATCGAATTGTTGATGGGGATGATCAGCAAAATTTTGATTAGCATTTAACCATCTAGATGATTAAAATATACATACAAAATTTCATAAGTCATAACAATCGGTCCAGCTGTTTCGAAGTTTACGTGTCTACACACCAGACAGACAGACAGACAGACAAACAGACAGGCGGAAACAGACGACTGCTTTTTTCGCATTGTAAGGGCCATGAAACGTCGAAAAAATATAAAAATGGCCATACTTACTTACTTACTTCCTTAGCTTACGATTATTAAGTAATAATTGATACCGTCTTATCATAATATATTCAATAAAGCTGTAGTTCAAATAACGGTGCTTTCGGCTTTTTTACTTAAAAAAATGTTGTACATAAACATAAGGCCAAAGATGCTAAAGTAAGTTTACTACAACTCAGTTCAAAAAATTGGTCGAAGTTTATTTTCGACTGAATTTTCCTCGCGCTTGAAATACAACAATTATAAAATTAGATTTTGCAATTTGTGTTTTGTTATAACCTGTTTAAAGTAAAAACCAGCAGCATAAATATCTTCGCAGCCTCTGCGCTGTGGGGGTGCAAATTTCAAGGAGAAGCCGCACCAGTCCTCTCAGCAATAATAACATGCTTGACTTCGAATGTTTATGTTTATACACCGAAAGAAAGTTATGTAGAAATTTATTAGCTTTAAATCAGTTTGTCTGCTCAAAACAGAGGATTAAAGTTATTAATTAAGCCACAATCAAACAAAATGTTCTAAATATTATTATTATTATCCATATTTTATGATTATGAGTATTAAATACAGACGAGCGTATTCTCACATTTTCGGGAAAATAGGGTGACTTGTTCTTAATTTGATGAGTAAAAAATTTGTGAAGATGTCATCAATATAGGCAAAAGAGAAAAAAAGAAACGGCCAAATTTGACATTGTCGTTCACGGACGTTTATGTCCTATGTTAATAATATTATAACAATAAGTCTAATATATTTGATAACATAAATCAATAAGACTAGATTTTATATTTCCAACAAATTGTTATGCAGATATTCCTCGGAGGAATAATATGCGTGGTCAAGGAGGTGCTGTTTAATTTTCATTAAGAAAAGTTTAGGAGTCATTTTTTTAAAGGAATTCGGTAATTTGTTAAAAAACTTGAGAGCGTAGTATGAAGTGCCAGACTTAGATTTGCTCAGTCTTAATAATTTAAAGGCGATTTCACCCGTTCTAGTTTCATATTGATGAAACGACTTTAGTGGAAGATAGTTCCCAAAATTTTTAATTTAATGCTTGATACGATTTTGGTTGATTTGGTTTGTTTACATCAGTTTGTGAGATTAGTTGACAGCTCTCATTGATTCGGGGTATCGATAATTTCCCCTCCCTTAATCGATTTGGGTATTTCGGACTGCGCATGCCACAGAGAGGAAAAAAAACAGGAGGGACTCCATTTTGACTTTTCGAGTCGTTGGGAACGGGTGCGAGTGTTTTCAGGGTATCCAGTGCGAAGAGGCCATTTTTGGAGGTAGAGCCCTTATTTTGGCATGACTCTTCTCCAAATTGCGTTAGAGATGAATTGAGGCCACCGCATTTGGGAACGAGGACGTGGTTTTTGCCCTCCTCTTTTCTCCGTGTTGCCATCTTTTCGCTCTTGGCGTGGAAAGGTTTTTGTTTGAAGTTTGGACGAAGGTCGACTAGCCGCCCCGCCCCACCCCCCCTTTTCTAAGTGAGGACGCCGTGCTGGACTCCGGAAAGAAGGAGAGGCGTTAGTTATAGGGTATTAGGTACTATTTTATTTTCTTGTATTTTTTTTTTTTGGTTAAGTCTATTCGCGTTCAGCATCTTCGCCACCGCCAGGAAAGGCACTGTTGCGGTACGGAAGCGAAGTACTCATTATAGTGTTAGGATAGAAATTTATTTAAGTTTTTTTTATATTTAGGTCGTTAGTATCATGTTGTACTCAGTCACACAATCACTCACCTCCCCCCGTTCTAAATAAATCTAATTAATTGTAGGCTCCAATTTTATTTATTTTTTTTGTACCATCACCCACGGCCTTCCCGGTTGAGCCTAGTCGCGGTCGAGAGCCACGTAACAATTAATTTGGCGCCCGGAACGTGGGGCTTGTTCTGACTGTAGTGATTGGGTGATAACTGATTTTTGAGTAGGTATAATTTTTAGGATGGAGGTAATCTTGCGTCCTATTTATACATATATATCTAAGCTATGGATTTTCATAGGCTCACTCGAGATGAGCTCTTGTATGAACTGGCGGTACGAGGGGTTGACGACATTGGTCATGAAACCGTAGGGGCGATGCGAAGGAGGTTATCGGAATTAATACGAACGGAACAGTTTGGGGACTTGGTTTTTAGCCCGACCTTTCGCTTAGTTGTGGAAACCGAGATGCTGATTTGTACGGAGAAGATAGCTCAACTTTACGGTTTTGTCCAAAGCCGTCGGTCTATTGCGAAAAACAGCACAGAGGAACGAAATGTTGAGACTAAGTTAAGACACTTGTACGGACGCGTTAGTCGAGTTAGGCTTAGGTTAACGAAGGAGGGACGTGATCAAATGGCAGATCGTCTGACCAACCTATTCAATCAGTTGGGCAGCATTGAAGTTTTAGTTGACTCTAAACTGGACGCGACGGTAGAGCCAAATGACCCAAACGTGCAACCGCCGACGGTTCCACTTTTGGGAGCGCAGGTCGTAAATATCCACAAACATCAAGTTCCTGTTTGCCAATGGGGCTTGAAATTTTCAGGAAATAAACAGGGGATGAGCGTTAATGCCTTTCTAGAGAGGGCGGAAGAGCTTAGAATTGCGCTAGGCGTCTCAGAGGTTGAACTGCTCAACTCGATAGTTGATCACCTGGAGGACCAGGCGTTAATTTGGTATCGTTCGGTAATACGTCGGTTCTGTCATGGACGGGTTTTGTTAGGGAGCTTCGAAAAGAGTTTCTCCCATTTGACTATGCGACGGAATTGTGGCAGGAAATTAGGACACAGGTGCAAGGTCCGAATGAGAGTGTGGGGAGTTACATATTTTGCATGTATGAAAAATTTGTTCAATCGGTTATCTATCCCACCCTCAGAGGAAGAGAAATTGCACGTCTTGCAACGCAACCTTGCACCATATTTGATTTAGGGAATCGGTTTGGTTGACATCGGTAGTGTCGATCAACTTTTGAATGACTCCAATTTAGAATACCATGGTCAAAATGACAATCTAACAATGAGAAATAAGCAATTCTGATATATTTGGATGAAAAATTGTTACTTAAGTTACGAAGTAGATATATGCCTTTAGATATTTTGGTGGCTACGTAGTCACCATGTTTGGTCCAGCGTAACTCTGAGTCTATAAACAGGCCTAGATATTTTGTAGTTACAGGTGGACAATACTTATCACGTTTTAATGTAGCTTCGCTTCCAAATAATAGGATAACATCCCTTCGACTACCATAAAACATACCATTAATACACTTAAGTAAGGAACAAAAATATTGGGAATGAATGGTATTTCCAAAAGTAATTAGGGCCCGAATTTACCTGAAAAAATGGGTTAACACCCAGTGGTTTCTCCAAACTACCAAAAAACCCAAACCTTTACTATAGTTATTTGAAGCTCAGGACACTATTTGCAATATGAATTATGAAATTTCGTCTTTCTAGATAAATGCCAATAGAATGACAATCTTTTTTTTTGTAAATTAGGACAAAAATTGATAAAAATGTAAAATTTGCAGCCGTTAGGTGAAATATGTAGCAGAAGGCAAATATATGCAAATATGCATTTTTTTTTATAGCGGTATTAATTTTTAAGTAGCATGATTCGTTCACATATTAAATATCAAGTCTTATATGCAAAAAATAACGGTTATGCAAATTTCATAAAATTCGCTCTC